GAGGGGACCTGTGAGGTTACGCGTGAGGAACAGGAGGGGACCTGTGAGGTTACACTTGAAGAACACAAGGGAACATGTGAGGTTACAAGGCAAGGGAGAATTAAAGTTGCAGATGGAAATAAGGTTGCAGCCCTGCCTACACCTTGACTTTAGCCCAATGAGACCCATTTCAGACTTCTGACCTCCAGCACAGTCAGATAATACATTTGTGTTGTTTTAAGCCACTAAATTGTGGTAATTCATAAGAGCAGCAAGAGGAACCTAATACAGACGGTTTTCATCGATCCGTGTAGAGTGTCCCATACATACTGCGATTGCGAGTGTGACAGCATCCAGTTCCAGCTTCCCCAGGTGGCCGCAGAACACCGAGCTGATGAAGCTGATCAGAAACACCATCAGCTGGGCCAAGAACTGGGAAGAGACAGAAAACGAGCAGTTGCAGACGAGTGTCAGTCATCACAGTTGAAGGAGAAGAGTGCAGTTCCTGGGGGCGCCCCCACCCCGTAATCAACTCCAGTCAGAAGTAAAGAAACATGGCTTGTGGTGAGCTCTGCCAGCTTGCACAGGCAAATGTGCGATTTCTGGTGGGCTTCTTGAAAAATATTAAAGTTCATTTGCAACTGCCATCAGAATCACTTTTTTGAGAACTTCCCAGCTTTTTAAATTTATTTTTTGCTTTAGCTGCTCAGGCCATAGATCATGTGTATATTTTCTCTGAAATTTTCAGAGGCTGCCCTCTGGGATAACCCCCTTCTTATCCCAGATTCCTAGTGAGGACTGGAGAGAATACAGCCTTCAACAGCCAGCAAGAAATTCCAGACAGGAGCACATGAGGCAGAAATGAGACCATCCAACCGGAAGGCCAGTGGGATCTGGAATGTTGGGGTGAAATGCTACCAGTCTGCCAAGCACCTTTAATTGTTGAATTCTATGAAGCCTCAGATCTGAGAACAAATTCAGCTTCTGAAACATGGAGCCATTCTTCCTTACGATTCCAGGACCTACTATGAATTGCTCCACAATGCTTTAGCTGCAGGACTGGACACTTACCTTATTTCCTTAGGTTGATTTAAAACCACCTCCCATCCCCCACCTGCCAGACCCAGGCGGTCCAGTACCTCTTGGGAAAGGCCCTCTCTCCTGAGGCTTATGTGGTCCAAAAGGGGGATTCATCTGACTCCCACTGCCCAGGAGAGAGAACAGGTGCCTAAAGATTCACTGCCGCTGCTGCCCGCCTGTCCCACGTGCCCCTTTCAAAGCTGATGCCCCAGGAAATGGAGATGCTTGTGTTGGTCCAGTCGGCAAAGCCGCCTCTCACAGTCCTTCAAGGGAAACAGACTCCTCTGTTCCGAGCTCAGACAAGTCTTGTCTCTTTAGGCTCCCCAGGACACAGCTTCCTGTCATCACCTCCATCGGCCCACATACAGTCTGTCTGCCAACACTGCAGCCACGTGGGCACCTGACCAGGCCCCACCTATGACAGTTCAGATGATGCCCTCTTTTCTTCCCAGAATCCACATCTGGGGAGGAGACAGCTTCCAACTCCGCTGATGGGCCCAGATCTTCAAAACAAGACAGGCCTGCTCCTGGCCATGGGCGGGGGGGGGGGGGGGGGCACACATACCCTTCCTGTATCAACTTCCAACCATGACCAGGTACCTCTCTCACCACCACAGAAAACAAGTGTGACTTTCATCTCCAACAGGGCCTTCTGCTACACAGCAGAAGGGATGCTTTCAGAATGTATTGCAAAAGTAAGCCAAATAATACAGAAGACAGGGGGCAGCAAAAAGCCGCGGGGCAGGAGTGTAAATCAAAAAGGTTAGTATGAAAAACCCAATCCTGTAGAGCCTAAAGCTAGAGCCAGGGGACCCCCGTAGGCCTGCACCAGAGGATGAACCATGGTTTAGGCCTTGTCTCCACCCTCACAGACATTCTCTGCGGGTTCATTCAGTGGAGCTTGGTGTCTCTTTGTGAATTTACATTTATGACTTTAAAGGTCATGAGGTCCTTTTTTTGATAAACTCAGCATCACTTTCAAATCTTTTCAGGTCATTGTCCTACAAGCCTTTATGTGCATAAACTATTGCAAACGGTTGTGTCACAGAACCTATTGTCCTCTTTTCCATGAAATGTATTTCCACCATACAGCGCCCTGTCTCCCCACAGGCCACACATAAGCTGTTTTTCATGGCTTCACATGAAAACATGTTCAATCTCCTCTATGGTCAGGCCTTTGGGCCACTGCCCAGACTTTGCTATCACAAATGGTACTGCATGGAACCTCTTTTCACTTGGGTGGGGACGGGCATTTTCTCAGGGTGAGTGCCCAGTCCAAGGGTGGAATAGTGAAGTCTCTTAGATGCAAGGCCAGGAACTCTAGCTGAGTTAAGCTCATCCACGTGAGATGCTACAGCTGTTTCTTTGTTGGGGCCACCGCAGCCTTGCCAGGGTCATGGCAGTCACATGGCGCTGAGGTTGCCCAACACAGCAGCCCCTCCTGAGCTTCAGTCCCAGGAGGATCTGGCTCCAGAGTTCACCTTTGCTAACCTCGTACTGGTTCTCAGATCCTGGTTTCAAGCCCTTTGCGTGAGCTCTTGGCCACAGCGTGTGATGCATGTACCTAAGGATTACCTGTGGATGTTGTTCAGAATGCCAATGCCCAGCCCCATCTCAAGAGACCAATCCCAGACGTCCGTGGGGCTGAGGGATCTGCCTTTCAATATATCCCCCACCCTATACACACCTAATTCAAGATGTGGTGGTCAAGGACCAGATCCTTCAGAACTGTCCCATCACAGGGCATGTTACCATGCTGGGGAATTAGCCAACCTGGACACAGGCTTGCTCCCCCAGGCGTCTTGAGGACTGCCGTCGCAACCCCAGCCTGAACCGGCAGTGGCTCAGATGTAGCCAAACAGACAACAGACAAGGCCAGACTGATTGTGCCTGTCTCTCCTTCTTGTCACAGAGACCCTGCTCAGCTTTCGCCAGGCAGCAATAAACAAAACTCTTACCACCTGGCAGCTTCGGAAGGGCGCTCTCCACGGCCAGATGCCAGAGGAGCACAGGCATAAACCCGCCCAGCGTGCTATGCCAGCACACTTCAGGAAGGGCCCCATTCTTACCCCTCTCCCACGGACGCCCAGAAGTTCACTCTGAGCTGCACTTGGAAGGAGCCTGCGAGGCCAGCGGGTGCAGCCTCTTCTTTGACACATGAGGAAGCACAGGCAGGCAGGCTGAGCAACCAGCACCAGGTCACACAACTAGCTAGTAGCAGAGGGGCAACCAGGACCCGAGTCACCTGACTCACAGATGGTCAGCTCGGGTCAATATCTTTGGAGCACAAAATACATGCCAAGCACTAGGGGTGTGGAAATGAGTAAGATGAACACCACTGCTCCATTCCTACTCCATGGAACCGACAGTATAGCAGGGAAAGATGTTCAACACGGAATAACACAGCTAATCGCAGGTGTGACGTGCACTACGAAGAAGACAGGGGCTATGAGAGCACAGCATAGGTGTCAGGGAAGGTTCTGGAGGAAATGAAGTTCAGCTGAAACCTGAATGGTAAATAGGCAGGTGAAGTTGGCCTCTCTGTTCCGGGAGAACATTCCAGGCAGAGGGAACAGAGAGTAGCAGGCGAGTGTGGGGTCTGAGACATGGCTGGGGTACTGAAAGGAGGCTGGGTGGAGGGCAAGAGGGAGACAGCAAAACAAGATAAAGGTTGGCGGGCTTGGCAGGGGGCCAAACCCCGGAGGACCTTACAAGACCAAGGAAAGGGGGTGACAAGCTCAGAGGTGCATTTCAAGAGGAGTTAGGTGGCTCCATGTGGAGCATTTGGGGCAGCATGAGCTGAAGAGGGAGAAACAAGTTGGAGGCTGCAGCGGTCCAGGCTTGATGGAGAGCTGAAGGCGTGGATCCAGCTGAGAGACAGTTGGGCCTTGGTTAGGATGGGGAAGAGAGAGGAGGGTCCCAGGCCACTCTGAGGTTTCCTCTGCCCACCCACCCATATCACCCTTTGAAATGTCTCCCAGATTGACAGTCTTCCCCTTTTAGGCCTTCATCACCTTAGCCTAGCTTATCTCCTGACTCTACCAACTTGCTCCTGCCGAATCTTACATCTGTCACTAAACATTCCCTGCTAATTGTTTCCCCAGAGCCTACAGGAGCAAAGTCAACTGTGAGCCTGCACGTTTTGTGTGCCTCTGACTGCAGTCAACCAGTCTCTCCAGATGCCCCTCACCCCTGTGGGGCCTTCCCTGGTCTTTCTGCCCTGCAGCCCTAGAAGGTTCTCTAGCTCTCTCCCAGGGATTCCTCTCTCCACACAGATGGAAACAAGCTCCCTCAGTTTGGGCCCAGGCTATGCCAGCTCTTTTACATGCTGTGCACAGCCCATGCCCGTGGGGAGCAGGCAATCCCTCACTGGGATTATTTTTCAGGACTCTGATAATTCGGCCCGGCAATGAGATGCTAATGACAAAAAGAAAGCATGGTTCAAATGCCCAAGATTCAACTACTGCCTTCCCTCCCTCACAAATGCATGTTTTTCTAAAGCTTCCTGCAGGACAAACGGACACTGTAACGAGAGCATCTTTTCAGATGTGCAGTATCCATCTCACACTCTTTCCTTTGTGTTCTGCGTTATTCTCTCTTACAGGCCTCACTTCAAGCTCAGCGGGAGAGTGGTAAGTTCTAACACCTTAGCCTGAATCCTATCTTGGATCCTCACAGGTCAGGGTTAATACGAGAGGCCTGGAAGAGAGACGGTGAATGGGAGGGAGAACATCACAGAGAGCAGAGCCAGGTCAGGCATCCTACCTATTTTATGAGGGAGCCTGGAGAGAAGAGTGGAGTATTGGACACTGAGCAGGTAAAAGAAGGGGTGATGTCCTCCCCCACCCATGCCCCTCGGGAAATAGAAAACTCAGAGCAGATGGGAACAGAGATGGAGAGAGACCAAGAGGGGCTCCATGTACAATTCCTGAGAGACTAAAGAGGTGCCAGAACTATGTGACCTCACCGGGTAAAGCAGTCACATAGACACAGACTACTGGAAGGGAAATCCCCAAATTCTCTCTCGGTGGCAAGATTTCAGAGGTTTTTCTTCTTTTGTTTGTTTTGCTTTTCTATTTTTTCTACAAGGAATCTGCATTACATTTGTAATAACACAGTCATATACGTGTATACACAGTGTACACACAAACAGAAAGGGCGAGGGGCCCGGCATGTCAGTCTAGTGCTCATCCCTGGAGCCCGGGAAGGTCCCCTATGTCAAGGGGACCAGATCACTGAGGGGGCCAGCAGAGACAAAGGACCTGTGGCCGAGAGGGGCAAGGTCCCAGAAGGCTGCCTTGTCTATTTTTTATACTGTTAGAGCCATAACAGCCTTACAGAGACCTTTCTCACAGCAACTCTGCGAGGGAGTGTTGGGGCAAAGCACAGATTATCTTCATTTCACGGGTGAATAAGCAGAGGCTGCAAGGGGCGACAAGACTACTGGAGTTCACATGGCTGTTTCCTAACCCGCCTTCCTAGATCAAAGCAGGGAACTGAGCCCTAGGTATTGACATTCCATACTGCGTGCTCTTTGTTCTGCGAGAGAGCTTTACAAACTCCTTCCCACTACGTGCATTGTCCTTTCACAGCTTTGTCCCTGGCATTATTCTTGCCACGGTGCACCCCACAGCAGGTATCACAAGATTCCACAAACAACTGTGTCACCATGCCCGGAGATCACAGCTGCCCGCCTTAGCCTTGCAGGTGCAAAATGTCTACACCATGCCAAAGGCTCACTTCTGCCTTAAAAACACACTGGGTTCTTCTTGACCCATGAAATGGCTCTCCTACCTCGTTGGCTTGAAAACCACCCAAACTGGTAGAAGAACATGGATGGGATTACATTGTCTGTGGTTCTTGTGGTTTTTAAAACCCACATTACTTTTAAATAGACAATGCAGAAAGAGCCCTAGAAATAAAGATAAGGAAAAAACCACAACCCAAAAGAGAACCACATTAAAAACTTTTGAACACAATAACGGGGGGGGAGGACAGTGTGGGACAGGACGCCTCTGGTTTCCTCGTGCAGAGGTTGACATTAGATCATTCCGAAGACGTGGTTTTGGACATTTAAATCCAAGACAGACAATTCACCCTCCTCCTCCGCTTAAAGATTATTGTTTAGAAACTTGAGCTTCCGGACTCTACTCCTAGTTTTCAAACAAACCAAGTTCCGGAGTGTTCTGCAGTTCTGGTAACTTTTGCTTGCTTCGCTGGAATCTGCACCCAGAGAAGGCCCCCGCGTCGAGCCCCTTTAGGTGAGCAGGTCCCCGCTCCTCAGTGCTGGCCAGCTGCGCCAGCTGTGCGGGCGGTCCCCCGCGGGGCGGTGCAGAGAGGGCTGGGACGCACGCGGAGGCAGGAGGACGCGCGCGCCGGGCTCTGGGCACTGTGTCCCCCGGCGCCCGCCAGCCCGCCCGCCACCAGCTCCTAGGCTTCACCCCCTCCCAAGTCTCGCGGGGCGACTCGGTCACCGGGCTCCCAACCCTCCGGGACCGGTCTCCGACTGAGGCCACCTTACTCACCGCAGGGCCCGCCAGGACCAGGAGCGCCCGCAGCTCCTCTCGGAAGCCGGACAGCGGCAGGCAGCGCGGCCCGTGGCGCTCGGCGGTGGGCCCCCGGCCGCCGGGCCCGGG